CCTCCCCAATGGAGCCCCAGGGGTGGCATTCTTTATACAGAGGATAGCGGAAAAAATATCGAGATTCAAGGGAAGACAGTATTCCCAACACAAGGATATGGTCCCAACCATGTTCCGAATGGCATTGGGATGGAGTTGATCGATAGTGACATTAAAGTGATTTAGCACCTCCACTATCAAGGGGTGCAGGGGGAGACGCAGGCCAGATTCGAGCTGCTCCTGGTAAATGACTATCTCATTGGGACCATGCTCCCACGAAAAGTTACCGGTGGGAAGGCAGTAGAGGAGGTCCTTGGGGAGGTGGAAATAACTAATTAGAGACCTAAGCCTCCCCCTGTCATGGAGGAAGGGCCAAAAGTGTCAGGCTCCCTTCCTCGGGAGGTGGAGGCTCCTTCGCCAGAGGCCTACCTAGCCCCCGAAACCTGCTCCCAAGCTCCCCCGAGCTCGAGGGAGCATCATCGTCCTGGTCACCACCCTGGTGATGAATATGGTACGGATACCCCAACATGACTGACAGTAATTGAGACTCACCGGAAAGGACGGGGTGAAGTGAGTTGAGGAACTCGAGTAGACATGACAGATGTGCGACCTCAGAATCCGAAGACAGCAAGATGGCGTGAGGGAAAATGAGACCCAGAGGGCCCTCCTATTATAGCCCCCACGTCTCCGAATCAACGGCCCAGATTAAAGCAGATCCAACAGTTCGCAGGCGTACTGACCGCACGCCTTCTGAAAACCGAAAGTGATTGGCTGCACGTCTTCCATGATTAAGGTAATGACGGCTGCACGATGTCCGGAGTTAAGAGCCACTTCAGCACATTTTCGGAATTCGAAGTCAGAAGATCTCCTGATTCCCGCGAATGCATTTAATGTGAGTAGTCAATCAAGTTTGAATTTTGGTCAAATCAGTCCATCGTACTTCATGAACTCCTTGTGCTAAGGCAACGCTCTCAGTTGGAGGAGTGGGGGGCAATTGATGGAGGATGATTTGGCCCGACGTACAAAATGGTGACACGTGGACCTGACTCAGCACGAGCAACAACTCAACATCGTGGCCTAGTACGACCAAGTAACAAGCTCCTAAAGCAGCTCGCTACATTGTAGCTCGCCACAACGCGAGCTCCGGGTTCCCCGAGCTACCCCGAAAGGGATATTCCGAGGCAACTTTAGCTCGCAAACTAGGGAAACCAACTCGCTCGAGCCCCCAAGCAGATAAGTCATCCCAGGGACCAATTCTACTAAGGGTAACCCTGAAGCATTCCGAGCTCGCTACAAAGTAGCTTGCGAATGAGCAGCACGAGCGTTCCTCAGGAAGCTTCCATCTGATAGGTCGTACTGATCAGACTACGCCATGTCCCTTAACTAACGGCGCAGTCCCTGTCCTTTCGACAGTTTGCATCCACGTCTCTCAGCAAGCGGAGGCACGCCTTCCCTTTGGAGACGTGTCACTCACCCGGGCAAGGAGTACGTTGCAGGGGCCCAGTGGCGATTACGCCCGATCTGACAAGAACGCCCCTATAAAAGCCCTTAGTGCAGAAGATAAGCTTCTTCTTCAGACTTCTAATCTCTCAAGGATAGTGAAAAAGCGTGACCTACACTCTTAGCTACCACACACTTCTTTTCTCTTTTCCCTACGTTCTAACTTAAGCATCGAATTATTCCCACTGGGTAAAATCCCTGGGAATCCTTCCTTTCCATCTTCTTAGGTGTCGTCCGTTGCCAACAAGGAGCCAGTCAGCAGCCAACTAGGAGTGCCCGAGCCCAGCCCAAAAAATTAAAAAATACCAACTTCTTGGGCCCGAGCCCAATCCGAGGACCGAAAATCCAAGCCTAGTCCGTGTAAAATTCCAGGTTGGGCTAGTTCGGGCTCAGGCTGGGCCCACCCAAGTTGCACCCCTAGTAATAGTACTATAAATTACATTTTTTGCCCATAGAGTGAAAGAGGAACTAAATTCATAAATATGAGTGTTTTACTCAAGAAAAATCCACAAAACTCTTGTATTTAAAGTACGTTAAATATAAGATGTAATCTATACTATTATAAAATTGTGAATGAGGTATTTGGTTTTTTATTTTTTCACTAAAATACCCTTCCTCTTGAATTTGGTTCTTCTTTGAGAGGATAAAAAAGGTAATTAAAATAATACTATTAAGTACATTCGATTACCTCTTGTTAAGTCTTAGGTTTAAGATATTAAATAAATATCATTCTCTTTCTCATTGAATCCAACATTTATACTTTTTTCTCATCATTAAATTCCACTAATAAATCCATACACAATAATTATTAGTAGAATGCAATTTTATATTTTTAAAATAAACGTAGAAATCAAATCATATTTTTCATCTAGGTGGTGGATAAGTAGTTCAACCATCTCAGTCAAATGGATAATTCTATGATGTCATAAATAAATAATACAAATTTAAAATATAAAAATACAAAAGCATAGAAAATAAAGAAATTTTGGAAAAAAATGGAAATATTTCTATTATTATATATTTGTCATATTTAGAAAAAAAGATAAATATGATAAATAGACATAATTTTATTAATGATGGACTTGGAATATACAACTTAAAACTGATGGGAAATAAAACCATTTTCCTATCTAGAGGGTGGGTTAGTGGTTCAACCTTTTAGGTCAAATGAGTTAACACATGATGTATAATTAAAAATAAAATTTTTAAAATAGAATAATAGAAAAAAATATGAAAACAATTTGAGCACATCTATAATATTATATATTAATCATATAAACAAAAATAAGTGTGATAAACAATAATTATTTTATTAATGATGTAAATGAAATGCAAAATTTAAAACCAGTCTAAAAATGAAACTATTTTCATATTTAGATGGTAGGTTAATGATATAACCTTTTGGGTCAAATGGGTCAATCTATGATGTCATAATTAAGTAATAAATATTAAATATATATATATATATATATATATATATATATATATATAATCAAAGAAAACATAAGCTTTGTATAAAGCATTTTGATACATTTCTAATGTTGTATATTCATCATATTAAACAAATAAATGTGAAAATAAGAATTGCTTTTATTAACGTTGAAAATGGAATACATGATTTAAAATCAATAGAAAAAGCAAAATAGTTTTTCTATCCAGGTGGTGGGTTAATGGTTCAACTGTTCATATCAAATGGATCAACACATAATGCTATAATTAAATAATAAAATACATAAAGTTCTAAAAACGTAGAATTTTGTAGATAAATTTGGGCACATTCTATACTATTATATATTTATCATATAAAAAGGGTGATAGATGAGAATTATTTTTATTAATGATGGAAATGGTATAAAAGTTAAGAGAACAAAAATAAAGAGCATTTATGTGTAACACATGACCTCCACTAACTATGTCAAATGGTTCAATGATTTAATTAGTTAGTACACCATGCTTTGATCATTTTTTTTTGTTCCGTGAATTCTAGTAAAAATACTAAGATATTATTATCGTCATCATCATTTGAAACTGCCACGTGCAATGTGCATACGCGTTTACTAGTGAAAGTATATGAGAGTTAATGCCTTAAATACAAAACTTAATGATGAAGGATATATTGAATTTAATAAAAATAGTAGTTCAAATTATGTTTTTTGCTCTCATTAGACCAAGTTAAAAAAAAAGAGTATTTTAGTAAAAAAAAATTCCAAAATCTAGACCTCATTTATATTTTTAATAGTAGTATAGATATAGATATAAATGTATTGCAACAACTAGTAGGAAAATCATATTTTTCCTTCCCTCTTGTTACTATTTGTTTTCCCTTCTTTCTATCTATTCTTTTCTACTCTATAGTTATATTTTACAACTCATTAATGGAAAAAAAAACCCTCTCCATTAGTCATTTGGAGCTTTAAGGATTTAACCTTAATTTTATTTTTACACAAAATATTACAAATGGATTGAATCATTGCCCACTTAACGGGTTAAATGATTCAATGGTTCACTCGCCCAAGTCAACCAATTTTAGAGATTTTATGAGTTTATAGATGAACTGGGATGTCTCACCTTAGGGTGAGAGGTTGAATGGTTCAACTACCCAGATCAATGGTGGTTTAGAAACATGTGTCAAAATTGCTAAAAGCTTTTTGATCATTGTTGTAATCTTCCTTAAAGTTTGGTAATTACAATCACCTCCCTTAAACTTTTTGACATAGTTGCAAGTAGACCCCTCTGTTAGAATCCCCTAAGAAGAGGCACAAAAGTGTCCAAAATACCAATGTAATTACTTTCAACGAAAATATTTATTTTCCAAATTTTCTCTATATATCAATTGTTACTCTAAGCATTGCCAATCTCTTTTTGAAAATTGATTTATGTTCCATTTATGTTTATTGAGTAAACGTTTTGTATTTGTGTGGCTGCAAAATCAAGAAAAGCAATTAATGAGGGCATTTATGACACATAGGCGCTATTAGGCACCACATCAGCAAATGTGCCAATAAACACCTACCTGTTGGGGGAAATTCCAAAATGAAGTTTTTTGAAATGGGAGAGACGCATAGAAAACGATCTTTGCTTTTGTTGATGGGGCGTCTATTTGGTAACGTTTACTCAATAAACTTAAACGGAACCAAACACATACTTTATGTTGTTCATCAAGTTTGTATTGCTTTTTTAGAAACCAACCTCAATAATAATTGCATGGGTATTTTAGACATTTTCGTACCTCTAACAAGAAGATTATAAGAAAGGGAATCTACTTACAAATGTGTCAAAAAGTTCAAGGAGATGATTGCAATTATCAAACTTCGTTGGAGGTTTCAGCAATTCGCCTCCTAAATAACGAGATCACATCAGCACCTTCCTGAACGCGCCCCACAGACGCCCCACATGCACATCTCAGCGTGCATTAGGAGCATCTCCCGTACTAGATGCTCCCAATGCACGGTGGAGATGTTCTGAGGCGCTGTAGGTGGTGCGGTGCTGATGTGAACTCCTAAATAACTTGCAATTTCATAGTCGACATTCTCTCTCTAGGTTTGCTGGATGCTGGTCCTGATTTAGCTGAACTCGGAAAGAGCAACGATTCCGGGTCATTTCTGTGTAGTCGATTGGCTTCGGAACTCCACAAACTGGTAAGACGTTTCTTTTGTTTATTTTAATTTTTAATTTTTAATTTTTGCAATTTTTTTTCTCTGGATCGCACCAATTTTCAGAAATGTTGGACAAGTGTCTCTGAATTGTTAATGGAAACATATGGTGTTCAAATGATGATGCTAGGTGTTGGTTTGAATGGTCATTGGCGTTCTACTGATTGGCATCTGAAGCATGTCGATTGTGTGCTTTTCTAATTGTTTGAAGAAAACCCCTATGATCAGGAATTTGTGACTTTACATCCATATGTGTTCTTTCTGGTAAAAATGAATTGTATTGAGAGTTTGCAAGAAATTGACTTTAATCGTACCCGAAATGGGGGGCTGAGTCTGGAAATGTTGAACGAATTCCATCAGCCACTGGTTAGTTCTTTTTCATGTAGCTGCTGTAATGAGGTAGATAATTATGATGCTCACTCGTTTAAAATGAATAAGTTGGTAGATGAAGCCATGAGGGTCATTTTGGCATGAGATTCGTGGTTCGTAGGATAGATCTTTCATAAATTGCACTGTTTCTGAGAAATATGTGTGGTTTGTTTGACCTTGTAAAGAGGAAATGATACATAAAAATGGTTAAATAACTAACAAAATCAGAAATAGCAGCCTTCTTTTTCATAATCCCTTTATTCGAAGTTTCGAACCTATGAAAATTCATAGGATTTCTTTCTTCCTCCAATGAGAAAAAAAAATCCTTTCTGCTACTGTGAACTAACTTGTCTACTTCCTTTGGGTCTACTATCTTCTTCACCTCTTTATTCGCACTATCCAGCTCTTTGACTTGTATGAGGTAGAGTCTGAGTCTCCTCGGACAGATTCCAGTTGAGCACTGCTATTCTTCTTCTCTACTCCTTAACATTGGCCTCAAAAGTCAACATTTTCCATCTAAAGATATTCAATCCCCTTCACCACCCTTCTTGGTCCCTATTAATCCTTCCATCCCACTAATTTGCCCAAGCCCTATCTTGTTTTCTGCCCCCTTACCTAAGCACTCATTCCGTTCTTTCCCTGTTCTCTCTTTAAGCTTTGCTTCAAACACTCTTAACAGTAAGGAAGCACTGCTACAGTGTTCTACTTTTTGTCTCCACTCTCTATCTTGAAGCAGTGAACCATCAGTATTTTCATTACTTAGCTTCTAGACAAACTAGACAGAATGCCCTCAGAATTTGATGGAGAATACCAATGCACTGGCCAGGCCAATCAATTCCACCCTACAGTTAATAAGGTTCATATCAACCTTAGAATACAACAAGACATGCAGCCTTAAGTTGGTCCTAAAAATAGACTCCTCTAGACCAACTACTTCACATGAGGCCTTCATTCCCAATGTGGAACTGTGGATTAGGTTGACCTTTTCTGTTACGGGTCTTAACTCTTAACTTTTACCCACCTACAAGTTTACTTCTTTGAATTGCATGTTCCATGCTAAGTTTGAAATATCAGTGTCAGTGGAAATTTATCATGAAAATATAGGAAACATGTCAGAAATGTCATACGCAAATATTGTAAAAACTATAGACATTGGGGAAACATTGTGAAATATGCAGAAATATACAATAATATTTTATGAAATGATAAAAGAAGCATAGGTAACACCCTTTTAGATTATTAAAGCCAAGAAACTAAGGTTAATAAACAAAATAGCATGCTGCAAAGTTGTCATCTAGACTTTAAAACTACATACTAGAATAAGTTCAAGAAAAATTTAATCTCATAGAAAGTGTAAATGGTTTTATTAGATAAACTAAATAATCTATTACACAAGAGAAAACTAAGATTTAGCATTATGTCCAAAGATAATTTTGAGATGGCTCAAAGAGGGGATCATGTGCATTATATGGGCAACAGTACTGCTATTCCACATATTTATGATATTATTGCCAACTCATTGTGTTATAAAACTATCTTGTATACTCCAGATGGTGTTGGTAGTTTTTACTAGTTAATATGTTGTAATTCCAGTAATATTTCGTGTGGATTCCCATGGAACTAGAAATGTGTCATGGAAATCTTAGGATATATATTGACATTTTAAATAATGGTTCTACATGAGGGTTTACTTCAGGGGGCATTTTGAATGGTGATTCCTACCACCTTAATGGTGGATGCAACTTTACCTAGTATCTAAATCAATTTTAAACAAGTTCTATTTTTCTCTCCATTTATCATAAATCCAAAGAATAGGAGAATTTGAGTTTTTTTTTTCGTTTCCATATTTTTTGACACCTTGAACAAAAAAAAAAGGACAAAACAATATCTCTTAAGATTCTTACTAAAAATATTTTTGAAGCAAAAGGTTTTCAAGCAAAATAGTAGTAGTCAAGATTTTCTTCTGTGTGGTAAAATTTTGCTGAAAAAGGATTTCTATTTTAACAAAAACAGTTCTTCTTGGCTTCTCAGAGGAGATTTTCGTTTCCATGGCTCCTGTTGCTCCAAGATCTGGAGATGCAGTCTTTGCTAATATTGAGCGTGTAGTAAGTAATCCTGCACTATATCTGATAGATCACCATGAAAGTTTCTTTCTTTTGTTAACCTTTGAAATTGATTTGCAACGATCTGGTGTAGAATGCAGAATTATTTACCCTAACCTATGGGGCAATAGTACGGCAGCTGCTTACAGATTTGGAAGAGGTGGAGGAAGTCAACAAGCAGCTTGATCAAATGTATTGGTTTTAGCTTTAATGCTATCCATTTTGTTCTCTTTACGTCTAAATCTGATTGATTCTGTTGTTTCTCTTTATGTTTGCATTGATGCTTTTATTTTTGGACAACAGTTTGACTTTTATATTAAAGTTTGCTTGCTTTGCACTTTCTTTTAGGGTTGTTTAGGTTATACTTCATCTGATGTTTATTATTTAGGCTATGTTTGGATTGAAGGAAAAGGTAGGAAAACCTTTACATGGGAAAGGAAGGGAAACCTTTCCCTTTTTTTTTGATAGATAATAAAGATTTTATTAAAAATATCACAAATATCACAAATGATACATATTACAAGATCCCACAAAGAGGCACGAGGTGCCGCCTCTAAACTGTATCCCAAGCTTACAATTGAGCCCAAAAAATCTGATTCCTATGTACCCCTTGTTTAGCTAAAAAATCTGCCAATCCATTTGCCGATCTTCTTTCCCATTGAACTGTGATTGATATGTTTGAAGTTAGCCATCTGAATCTTCTCAAAGCCCCTCTGTAGAACCAGGCTGCAGTCTCCGGCTCTTTTATCCACCCAATAACCAGTTTAGAGTCCCCTTCAATAATTAAGTTTTCCAATCCCATCTCCTTAGCAAACTCTGCTCCTTTTAGAGCAGCTTGGACTTCTGCATTAACTGAATCTCCCACACCAATAGGACCAGAATATAAGGCTATGATCTGGCCCTCAGCATTTTTGAAGACTCCCCCAATTCCAGACAGCCCTGGGTTACCTTGGCTGCTGCCATCAAAATTTAATTTGATAGCTCCTTCTCCTGGAGGCTCCACTCCACCACAGGTTTAAGTCTTACAGCAGAACTTTTGGCAATTTGCTCCCAATTCCTCCAGAAATCAACAAAGGAGAAAGGTTGAAACAGGTCCAATGACTTTGCCCAACTTATGGCCTTATATAGGATACTTCCCCATATACTAATCTCATTCTTCTTCTTATCATTGAAAATTCTGGCATTTCTTTCCTCCCAAACAGTCCACACCAAAGCAGCTCCCGCACACGTCCACAAGACTCTACCTCTTTTCTTTGGCTACCTGAAGGTTGTGGGGTGAAAGAGATTGCTAATCTGCCTTGGTTCTGTCCACCTACACCCAAAAAGATCAAAAAGCTTCTCCTATAGACCTACAACAAAAGGACAAGAGATTAGTAAATGGTAACAACTCTCTTCATTTGCTTTGCAGAGGGTACACCAGTTAGGGGAGATGCAGAGACCCGGTTTCCTTTCTTGCAAGACATCCAGAGTGTTTATTTTTCCAAGAGACACTTCCCAACAGAGGGCTCCCACTTTGGGAGGGATAGGCGTAGACCAAACCTCCTTGTTATGAAAAGGGTGAGGATTAGGATTTGAGCACAAAGACGAGGAAAAGGAGGCACAGGAGAAAGCACCCAGGGAATTAGCACCCATATGCGGCTATTAGGAGGGGAGGGGTCCAAACAAATAGGTTCAAGAATTTTAAGGAGCAAAGCAGCCTGGTCAAACTCAAAATCCCTTAAATCTCTCCTAAAGCCCAAATTCCAGTCTAGACCGGAGGAAACAGAGAAGGAAGCAAGCCTCTGAATTGGCTCATTTTTAAAACAAGAAAGGGAATACAAAGAAGGAAAAAGGTCCTTAAGGATAGAGTTTCCAACCCAAGTGTCCTCCCAAAACAATAACTTATCTCCAGTACCAGCATTATGCCTGATCAGGTTCCAGAAAAGAGGAAGAATACTATGAATAGACTTCCAAGGGAAATTGAGCATAGCTTATCAATATACACCATCATCCCAACCTTTACTTGTCGCACCATGAACACTTCTTACCATCTTGTGCTATAGCTTTCCCTCTCCAGAGGCCACCTCCACAGCCATTTACCCAAAAGTGCTGTGTTCTTCTTCCTTAAATTACCTAGACCCAAACCCCCCTACTCTTTACTTCTACAAACTAGTTCCCACCTAATCAGATGATCCTTCCTTCCTTCCCCCAGTTCCCATAAGAAATCCCTCATAAGTTTCTCTACCTTTAAAACCTCCCTTTAGGGCATTCTAAAGACCAAGAGGAAGTAGACTAGGAGATTTGCTAATACAACCTTTATTAAGGTGATACAACCTCCAAGGGAGATGTAGTTTCTCTTCCATACTGCCAATTTCTTTGTACACTTCTCAACTATCAGGTTCTAGAATCTACCTTCCCTTGGATTATCTCCTAATGGCATTCCCAAGTAAATCAAAGGCCAACTAGAGGTAGGGCAACCCAAGGACTCTACTACTCGGCTCAGCTCCTCCTGCTCCACATTCAACCCCACCACACAACTCTTTCCAAAATTGATTTTCAACTTTGAAACACATTTGAACAACTTTATCACTTGTTTCAAATTTTGTGCCTTTTGTGGATCTCTAGTCTCACAAAAAATGATTGTGTCATCTGCAAACTGCAAATGTGTTACCACTGTACCCTCTCTACCTATCCTCCAACCTCTGATCAAACCCAGTCTATCCACTATAGAAATCAGCATACTAAACACATCTGCTATCAAAGTAAAGAGGAAGGGAGAAAGGGGATCCCCTTGTCTCAGACCTCTAGAGGCTGGGAAGAAATCCCTGACAACTCCATTAACTATAATCGAGTAATGGAAAGTTTTCAGGCAACCTTCAATCCAACCACACCACCTCTCTCCAAACCCAAAACTTCTCAGAGAATCCAGCAAGAAGGGCCAGTCTACCATATCATAAGCTTTCTCCAAATCCAATTTGCACACGAAACCTTTTTCTCCCCTTCTCTTAAAGTCCTCCATACATTCATTTGCAATCAGAATTTGATCTGTGATTTGTCTCCCTTGAAAGAATGCTCCTTGTGACTGGCTAATTAGATCAGGTAGAGCCCGTTTCAACCTCAAAAATAAAACTTTAGCCAAGATCTTATAAATATTGGTCATTAAGTTGATGGGTCTAAAATCTCTTGGTTGGATTGCATCTCCCTTTTAGGTATCAAGGCCAGAAAGGTGGAGTTAATCTCTGGGCTGATAAAATGTTCCTCTACAAATTTCTCAAAAACTGCCCACAAGTCTGATTTGACAATGTCCCAACAATCTTGATAGAAGGCCATAGTGAAATCATCTGGTCCTGGTGCTTTCGACCTGTCCATAGAGAATACAACCCCTCTTATCTCTTTCAGCTCAAAGTTCCTTTCCATCCAGCTTGCCAGATAAGGATTCAAAATTGACCACTCCAACCCTTCCACTCTAAACCCTACATCTTCTTGCTGCTTGTAGACTGCCCTAAAGTGACTTATAAAGACATTAGCAATCTCATGTTGATTTTCTATCAATTCACCATTAACCTCTAACTTCTCCACAAAGTTTTTTCTCCTCCTTCCATTAGCTAGTGTGTGGAAAAACTTAGTATTGCCATCCCCCTCTTTGATCCATTTGTGTCTTGATATTTGTCTCCAACACATCTATTCTCTAAGGACTAGCTCTTCCAATTCCTTTTTTCAGGAACCATCTTTTGTTCCTTTTTTCTTCCGATAGCGAACCTTGCCCTTCCTTCTCATCCAGATATTCAATTTCGGAAATAATGCTTAATTTCCTTTCCTCCACTCTCCCAAAGTGCTCCCTATTCCACTGTTTAATTTTTTTATTTTAACTTTTGGACTTTTTTTGTGGAATTTGACTCCCTTCCAATGAACTCCCACCACTTCACCCCACAATTCTTTAACCTTATGAATAAAATCTGGATGTGTTAGCCACATATTTTCAAATCTAAAAGGTTTGGGCCCACTCACAAAGTCTTTAGTTCCAATGTTAATTGGCCAGTGGTCTGAGGTGACTCTTGGCAAGGCTCTAGCTGACAACCCTATCCAATGATTCCCCACTCAGAATTAAAGTGGAGCCTATCTAGCTTGGAAAACCTTGGGGAGGATTGTAGGTTGGACCAAGTGTAGACAGTCTGCTGGAGGGGTTTGACAGCTCATACTCATTAATAAACTCATTAAACTTCCTCATACTAGTTGTGATCATTTGAGTGAGATTATTGGTTTCATTTGTAAATCTAATTACGTTAGAATCACGACCTAAACACCAAGGACCCTCTCACAATCCCCTAATATCAGTGATCTCTTCCTACATTTTACCTCTTTCTCCATATCTATTGGGACCGTAGACATTTGTCATTACCCAAGTAAACTCTTCTCCCACCCTCCTGAATTTCAATGAAACTGAGAACCGACCTATTAGCTCTTCCAGTGGCCCCCCGATGCCCCCACGAAGGCGAGAAGGACCAGCCTAATCCTCTAGAGCTCCATACACTTCTCACCCACCTTCTATCCCAATCTGCCACTTTTGTTTCCTGGAGTAGCATTATGTCCGGATTTTCTATTCTGATCAAATCTTTTACCACCCTTCTTTTCCTAGCCATACCCAATCCTCTCACATTCCAACTTATTATCTTCATAGCAACACTTCTAAAACCACTCCTAATCTGTCACCCTTACTTGGCACCTTTCCTTCTCTCATCCCTGGCACTGAACTCTAAGTCTGCAGCAACATCTGATTTTAATCTTTCAACCTCTGTCAGCTTCCTCTTCCTTGAACATCCTCCTTTTTCCCCTTCTTTTTACCATAAACTTTCATGTTTTCTACCTCTTTAGAGAGGCCAATGATGGATGTTACTCCTGGTCCATCATCATCCCCAACTCAAATTTCAGCAAGGCAGAGTGAGCAGAGGTGAGAGAAATTGCTACAGTGGAGACCGGTGACAGTGAAAGTTTACGGTAAAAAGAAGGGGAAGAACTAAGTCCATTTGAGTGTTTGGCCCCTTGACCTGTTGAAGAATGTTGGCCCAACTCCACTCCCCTTTTTTGTCCTACACAGTCTTGGTTTTTAGGCCCATTCGAACTAACCTCCGTGTGACTTAAGGGAAGCCCACTTGGTTTATTTAAACCAGCACCTTCTCTACTCATGCCCATGTGGCGTTCTTGCTTTTTTGATC